GGACATCAGATTCTTACTCCTTTCTCTTCTAAAGGGGACTATGCTAGTGATTCTCCAGGCACTTTCTAGGATTCCATCTCAGACTGGGATATCATCATTGATCCCTYTAGTTTTGTGGCTTCAGCCTCATGGATCTGCACAGCTACTGGTTCCTCCAGCTCTCCAGCTTGCAGATGGCCACTGTGGGCTATCATGATTCTGGGTGTATAAGCCAATCTAGTCAATCTCTTTTTCATAATCATACTTCCTATTGATTCTGTTTCTCTACAGAATCCTGAAAAATACACCATCCTTTCTGTCCTTTAGGGTTCATGTCTTTAAATCCTTAATTGTTGTTTTTGAGCAGTCTTTTTGCTCTTTGTTATAGAGGGACATACTAAAGAAAAGTAATGTTCAGGCTGCCGTCTTGGCAGAAAGATCAAGCTTTTAGTTTCTATGTGTGTGCAGTTCAGCTACCTTCTTAACTCTTCACAATACCTCTGTGTTTCACTGTCTCAGGAGCACTTCTAACAGGGAACTGCTATTTGGGACTCTAAAAAGTTGGTTTTGGTGATGGTGTGATCTTTTTTTCAGGGCCCACATTCTTTAAAAAGAATGCCATAATATTGAACTGAAACTTATATACCATCAAATAACATTTACTTGCATTGTTTAATGAAGTTTGGCAGATGCATACAGTCATGTGAATACCCCAGTGAAGCCTGAAAGCATTTCCATAATTCAACATGCAATGAATTTTTCTTTGGAACCACAGAGAAGCTAGTTAAAGAAACTGGGCTAAACTGAGTAATATTTTACTACACAAATTGACCTGATTTTTTTTTATTAAATAAGGATAAGAAGTCACTTTTAAAAAAGGAATAGTTGATTTTTTTTACTGTTTTTTTTTTATTATCATTTCAAAGCACCATAGTGTACCATGAGTGGTTTCCTGATAAGCCCAGTTGGCCTTATTGTCATAATTCTATTATGACTGTGTGTTTAGACACAGAAGAGCTGGGGGTCAGGGTGGGGAAGTGCATCAGCATCTAGGACACACATATTTAAATCCTGGTTATTTATTCACCATTTGTATGGGTATGTGCACACTATTCAACCATTTGGGTCTCAGTTTCTCATGTAAGAAAAGGGAGAATAATAGTCCCTGCCATGGGAGGTAATTGCAAAAATTATAAATGAGTTGTAAATGTAAAGTATGTGGAGCAGAGCTGACATAATGGTGAGCATAGTTTGAGAGCTGGTTTTATCAGCACTGTGTGGATTGCAGGGTTGAAAAATGGTCTTGCAGAGCATCCAGTACTCATGTACCTGAACCAGTGTTATGGAACATAAGGAAATGTGGGATGCCGTTTGTGAATTATTTGAGCTTATTTGAACATCTTCACTTGGCCTTGAGATTTAGGTTTGGCATTGCAAAGTATTTTGTGGCTCCTTTCACTCAATGGATGGTGCAATGCTAGGGAGACTRCACTGCTAGCTGTGAAGTTGGGTGTAACCTGTTGGAAACTGGACAGCCCATCTCCTATCTTAATTGGTGAAGAACATTCTAGGGAAGACATTTGATATTTCTGCCATACAAATAAAGCCAATGCAAGCTCTTATCCTCTTTCCAGTGTGAAAGCTCTGTCCCTAAGATATAAGAGCCTTCCAACCCTCCTCCACGGCCTCCCCCCACACCCYGCTTTTTAAAAATACTTCCAATGTCCTTTAGTTTCTTTGCTGTTTTCTCTTTCTTAGCTTTATTTCACAGCCTGCCTATTCCACCCAAGAGGAACCTTCAATTCCACCACCTGCATGGGCCATGGGTGGGATAGAGAAACATGGAAAATGAAGGCATTGCAAAGAGACAAATGGCACTTGGAGATGTAGAAGAGCAGGGTTGCTTGAGCACCAGTGTGAGCTCAGTGAGGCAGCACCTCATGGGGCAAGGGCCAAGCAAAGGAGAGCTGCTCCCTTCCTGGCAATATCAGAGCAGAGGGAGGGGAAGGAGACACAGGGAAGAARCACCCCCTCAGGGCCTGACTCCAGTGACCCACCTCCTCCTGTCACTTTCCACCTGCCTACAGTTAACACCCATTTAGTCCATTGAAATGAGTAGGGTCCGATTAGGTACAGCGCTAGTACAGCGCTACTATTCAGTCATTTTGCCTTTGAATATTCCTGCCTTCACACAGCAGCCTTTTGGGGAACACCTAATTTTGAAACCACAAAAGGTTTAAAAGCCTATCTGCTTGGAACTCTGAGGCAGGGGGATCATATGTTCAAGCCCAGGCTTAGCAACAGAGCAAAATCTTGTTATTTTCATGTGAGTATCAGGAAATGTGAACTGAACAACAGAAAATATAAGCTACAATGGACTGAAATAAACCAATTTTTGAAAAGCATGAACTACCCAATAATATGAACTTTTCAGGGTCCAATGATCATTAGGAAGTTAAGTTGCTAATTTGAGAATCTCCAAAGGGATCTTGGGTATAGGTGGAGAATTCTACCTCACAATTAAAGAAGAATCAGTACAATTCTATGCAATCATTTMCAGGAAGCAGACAAGCAAGGAGCAATTCACAACATATTTTATGAGGCTAGCATTACTAGATCATTAACTAGAAATTATAGTGTCAAAATAAACAATGGAAGAAACCCAAAATTGAGTGTTCAAATTCCATCCTAAAGTAAACATGAAAATCCCTATATAATAATACATTTCATTGATAAGAATAGAATAACAGGGCAAATTCAACATCTATGGATAAAAACTGTTAGAAAACTAAGAATATAATGATATGGGTTGAAATATATCCCTGGAAAGCTTTCTTAGGTTCTAACAAGACTGAAGGAAATGGCATTATGATGATGTAATTACCACAAGATTGGCTCCTAAGGGAACAGGACAAGCTGGGGCAAAGGCCAAGCTTCTCCTTTCATAGCAACATGGGACAAACAAGGAAAGGAGACGCAGGAAAGAAGTACCCTCTCAGGGCTTTACTCCAGTCACTTTCCACCTRCCTACAGTTAACACCCARTTTATCCATTGAAACGAGTAGGGTCAGATTAGGTACAGCTCTCACAATCCACTCATTTTGCCTTTGAATATTCCTGCCTTCACACAGCAGCTTTTGGGGAACAGCTCATTTTTAAACCACGAGTGTCTTAAGCCTAACTGCTCGGGACACCGAGGCAGAGGGAATCACATATTGAAGCCCAGCTTAAGCAACTCAGCAAGCACTCGTCTCACAATGAAAAGGGGACAGACCTAACTCAGTGGTACAGCACTTGCTGAAAGTGTGAGAGGCTCCTGGGTGATGGGTTGAGTTCCAGTACATACGAAAAGAAAAAAATAGAAAAGATGTCGGGCGAGGGGTTCTGAGGAAATGAGTTCCATTTTCTGCCTTTCCATCATATGAGGACACAGCACCAAATTGCATTGACCTAGAAGTTGCCAGATCTGGGACTAGATTATTTGTTAATAAATCACCCAGTCCACGGCATTTGCTTTCAGCAGCATGAAGGGTCCCTGAGAATGCCTCCATGTCTTCCCCGTCTGGGAAGGACACTAGTACTGGTTCTAGGATTCTTGGCAATCAGGGTTTGTTCTTTATCACTTTGAATGTTTGAACCCGCTGTGTTTTGTTCCTTAGTGCTTCRTCTCTCTAAACCCCATAGCTGTGCATACCATGCTTGAGAGTATCTTAGGGAAGAGAGCATTATATAGTATCATGATGTGAGGGGCTACGATCCTTTTGACACCCATTATTCAGTGTTGGAAATAAAGAAGTTGAATACCTTCAGTGTAGATATAATGAGGTCATTCAAAGGCTAAGTTATTACAGACTTCTAGACTTGAAATGAAAAGTCCATTGAGATCCTGTTGTGGCATTCCTTCCTCCACAGAAAATCTTAACTAAGCTTCTCCAGAAATTTTCACCGTAATTGATTTTAGGACTCTCAGCAGAAGAGTCTCTACAGAAGAGTTCTGTGTAGGTAAACTTCCTATTATCCTGTTGCTGTATTTTCCTTGGCCACTGCCCTGGAAAGAAATCAGCACTCTGGTGCTGTATGCCCTTTTACTAGTTTCTCACAAACATAGATCCAATATAGTACTTTATAGCTGCAAAATCTGATTTAAAAAAAAAGACAAATCCTTTAACCAGGTATCTGGCCTTGAGCTGGAACTTCACAGAGATGTCTATACTTCTAAGACAGCACAGGCTACCAATTGGGCTCCATAGTCACAGCTGGCAGGAGGAGGAAAGAAAGGGGAGAAGAAGCTCTCCCTTCTCAGGCACTGTCTTTGAAGGGTTAATTTTCCCAAAAGAGTAAAAGAAAAATGTGCTTTTGTGTGAACTTCTGCGGAGTGTGARCTTCTGAGCCCCTCCCCTAACAAACTGGGTATAAAGTTCTGAAACTACTTGAACTTGGGAGTCAGGGCATTAATTGATTACAGTGAAAACTGTACCCTCTGAACCTGGCTGCAGCCAAATAAAACTGTTTCCTGCTGTCTTAGGTTCCCTTGCATCATCTGTCCCCGACAAGCGCAATGTTCAAATTTTAATTAAAAAAAAAATACATGTCAATTTCCATAACCCATTGAAGTGAAATCCTTCTTGGATTCCATTCTTATTCTTACTGAGAAAGTAGAAAAGGTCCTGTAGGCCCAAAGGGTGATGGCCAGTGGGGGTGATGCCCAGGCATGATTGGGCCATTTCTTGCTCTGACCTCACAAGGAGCCATTGTGAGGGAGTCTGAATCCCCGGGTATATAACAGAGTGACYGAGGMTGGGTTTTTGTCCATAAGTACAGGAAGCTCTTGGTGGTGACCTGTCGGACTCCCAGCTAGTTAGTGCGTTTGGTGGTTGGCGGTTGGTGGTTGTGGTCTTTGGCGATTGGTTCTTTGATTTGGGTTTTTTGTTTTGTCTTGTTTTGTTTTTTGATTTTGGTTTGTTGTTTTAGTTTCTTATTTTGTTTTTAGCTAGCATCCTTAGTTGGTGTTCCTGCTTAGGATGCATAGTAAGAGTAGTGAGTTTAGTGTAGTGCCGCAGGGGCCTGGCTCCTGCCAGGAGAAGGCCTTCACAGACCATTACCAGGTCTTGAAGGACATTGGGCATGGGGCATTTGGTAAGGTGATCCTAGCCCGCCATCTGCACACTGGGGCCGAGGTGGCGGTGAAAGTCCTGCCAAGGAGCATGTCGGAGAATTTGGTCCACTCTGAAATACTGGCGATGAAGACCCTGAACCACCCGAATGTGATCCACCTCTTTCAGGTGATTGAAACCCACAAACAGATCTACATCGTGATGGAGTACGGGGTTGGGGGAATCTTTATTTGACCTCGTCCCACCTGGGGGCATGCAGGAAGAGGAGGCCAGGAGACTCTTCAGGCAGATCGCGAGTGCAGTGTGCTACTGCCACAAGATGCACATCTTGCACAGAGACCTGAAGCCCAAGAACATTGTGCTGGATGCCAGAGGCAACATCCGAATCGTCGACTTTGGCTTCAGTATCATGTTCAAACCTGGGCAGAAGCTGACCGAGTTTTGTGGCACTCTGGACTACCTCGCCCCGGAATGTGTGCGCGAGGAAGTACACGAGGGTCCCCCAGTGGACAGCTGGAGCCTGGGTGTCATTTTGTATTTTATGTTGACTGGACACCGCCCATTTAGGGCAGCCAGCATGAAGGGGCTGATGTGGAAGATCTTACATCCCAAGTTGAAATTTCCCTGGCGCGTCTCAGCCAAAGCCAAAAGACTCATCAAGAAAATCTTGACAGTGGACCCCAGAGCAAGGCTCTCGGCAGAGGAGATCTTGGCGGACCCGTGGCTGAATCAGGGTGAGGAGAAGTTACCTTCCCATGATGTGCCCTTCCCYAACCTCTCAGACCCCACAGTACTGACAATGCTGTTCGACATGGGGTACGACCCTTACAGTACCTGGGTGTCGCTTTCCCAGAGAAAGTTTGATGGGGCAATGGCTTCCTATCTCATAATCCAGCGGCAGATAAGCCAGGGGGCAGGCTGCATTAAGCCTGGGAGAAGGGATCCTTCCATTTCCCCTGCCCTCCCGCAAAGGAGGGCGAGTGAGCCTGCCCTTCACACCTTCCCCTTGCCCTGTGAGCATCATCAGCCTCAGGAGGCCAAAGAGTCAGGGCAGAAGAGCTTCAGAAGGGCCAGCTGGCCTGCCATTAGTCTCCGCTTCCTGCATGAGAAGCCCCCCACTCCCAGGCTAGCCTCCCAGCATCACTCTGTGTTTGACTCACCCGAACCCTGCCCATCAACAACAGACAGCCATGTTTCCCAAGATGCCACCACAGGGCATCCCCAGGGCCACAGGAAGGGTTGGAAGCGGGTGAGGCAGAGGATCGCTGCCTGCTTGCGCAGACTGTGCTGTTGCACACCCTTATGTGTTGGCGAAATCGAGGTTGCTACACCAGGAGAGCAGAAGCCTGCTAGGTTCACAAATCGGGTGGTTCCTACATAAATGGACAGTTCAGATGGACCAAACGAAGAAACAGCCAGCCAGAGGACTCTCTACTCCGTGGATGCTGTCACTATGTTGGCGTTTGCCCCATGGACTCCAACAGCTGCAGGACTGAGTGCCTACTGGCTGGGCTTCTCCACATGGGGGGTCCAGCCAGGAGCACATCTGGATCTACCTGAACATCAGGCATCTCCCATGCCTCCACCTGCTGGGGACATCACATGAGACCCCCTGCCTTTTCCCATGCTTTTGTATGCAGTGATATTTCTCAATAAATTGGTTTCTCTGAAATTGCATAGTCTACCTGATATTCTAAAAAWTTTTTAAAAAGAGGCTGATCTATAAAAGGGGGGAAGTGTCTGTGAGTGTCAGAGCCCCCAGGCTTCCTCTCCTAGACCTAACTGTGCCTCCCTCTCCTGTTTAATGTACATAGACTTGCTCACCTTGAACCAGTGCAGATGAGGACTCACTCACTTTAGCCTGTGTATAAGGTAATATGCTCACCTTTAGCCAATGTGGATGTGGCCTGTTTCCTTAGTGTAGAGGGTCTCTTGCCTCTAGCCAGTGTAAATTAGCTCTCACATGCTTTGATCTAGYGCCATTGGAGATTTGCTCCCTTTAACCCAGTTGGATGGGACATAACTGACTTTGAGCTGGCAGCCTTTGACAGAAGGAATCCCTGAGGTGTGTCGAGGGGATGGGTGTCAATTGTTGGAGAAATCACATCTGAGAAGACATTGGAAACCCCAGAGAGTTCTATGGCATCATCTCCATACTGTTTGCAAGTAAGGCCAAGGAGGGCCAGGGGTTGGGATGGGCCTGCCTATCGCCCTGACTGTGTGCCTCACCACCTACCATGCTGCCTCACCATTCCTCGAGGCCCTAGCTGAAGGTAGTAGGGAAGGGAGCACATGGGGTTTGGGGAGTGGAGATGACAAGCCATCTATGGATATTTGCATAAAAGCAAAATGTACTCATGTGGAATTGCTCTTTGCTTTGGGGTTCTYTTGCAGCTTCTTGCTATTCCCTCAATGATCGGGTGTGGATACCTTAAAAAATGTAGGTCACATGTGTCATTTTAGTAGTTTTTTCCATTTTCTGAAATTAGGCCCCATTTGTGAAATTATCAGATGGTTGGGATTTTTTTTTTAAGAGAAACACTTTGCATGTTTTATATAGAAAAAAATCCCAATGGTGGTGAATCCCTCTAAGGCTTGAGGCAGGGGAACAGGTGTGTAGCCAGGAAACGTCCATTTTCTGACCCAACCTTGGCCTACGGAAGGGATTGCCTAAGAGCTGCCTGAAAGGTCACAATGTGCAGGAGGTTCTGGGAAGCAGGAGASGCCTACTGAGGATCATGGAGGAGTGTCCTGGGGAGGAAGCCCAGGCCCAGGTGCCAACTCCAGGCCCACACTGGGACAGTCACAGAGGTGTGGGATCCTAGAGGACGGGAGGGAGGCAGTGTAGAGGAGGGACATGTTTTTTGCATTTTGTGTGGTTGTTCTCAGGAGCAGAAGGACAGGGTGTCCTGGGCTGGCATTTGCCTCCAGGCCTGCCCCTGGGCCAGGCTGGCACTTGTCAGGCAGGTGTTCTCCCTGTGGCTCCTAAAAACAGATGTTGGCCTTTCCTCTGGGGTCAGTGTAACTCCTGGTCTAGGTAGGAAGAAAGGGCTGTTTCATTTACTCAAATATTTATATATGTTGATGTCGAGCTCCTTCATGCTGAGGACTTTCTGTTAAGTAGAGCACAAACCATGGGTTCCATCCTTACAATCTACACCAGCTTTTCCACTTTTCCAAGATGCCTGTTCCCTCCAGGGCCTTCTTGCCTCTTCCTGCCTGTTGGACACAAGTACAGTCAAGAAGCGATGGTATGGGCAGTGCATATCTCCAACTGACAGGAGTTTATCCAAAGTGGTCTAGAAAGCCATTTGTGACATCTTTCATCTTCACAAACACTGAATAGAATAGGTCTCATTTTTAGAGTGATAGAAAATTAAACCTTACTAGTTGTCTCCATTGCTCCTTGAGATGACTGGCTATAGTTGCTTCCTAAAACCAATGAGATGTTGGAAACAGCTTTACACACTTTTGATTTCACCCTGTCTCTCTGCAAGCAATAACTGCATTTCAAAGACTAATCTACTTTTTCACATTCAAAGGTGATTTGAACATTGTGATTCTAGTCTTGCCCTTTGCTCTCTCCTCTTGATCCTTCTCTGACTTTTCTCTTTCCTTTCTCGCTTACCTCTTTGCTTCTTAGGCTACATTGAGACTCCTACTAGGATGTGCAATTTGATCATAGAAGTTTTTTTTTTTTTTTTTTTTTTGTAAATCATTTCAGGAAGAGTTTGATACCTCCCGTTACAGAATTTTAAGAGGTGATTTTGGTCTGGCTCATATCTGTAATCCCAAATGACTTGGCAAGCAGAGGCAGGAGGATCACAATTTGAAAGGCAACTTTAGCAAAATAGTAAGCATCTTTCTCATATTAAAATTAAGCAATAATAATAAAACAGACTGGGGATGCAGCTCAGCAGTAGAGGACCTGTGAGTACAGTCCCCAATCTCTCTCTCTCTCTCTCTCTCTCTCTCACACACACACACACACACACACACACACATACACACGACACACACACACAAACACACACAGCAGATTATGTTTAAATTGATATTTACCATTCTATCAATATTCTGGTGTTTCCCAATTCAAATGTCATACTGATCTCCATCTTTTCTATTTCTTTAAGAAGCCGCATTAACAAAGTGCTCAGTTTTCCATGAATATATTTTATAGTTCACCTGGGTAATGTCTGATGCTGTGCTGACAGAGCAAGTGGTGTAGATTCTGTTTCCTGAAGATTGATCATCTATTGATCAGTTGATAGATACTTTTTTTCTGCTGGTTTCTTACACTGATGGAAATTTTTTCAGTATTGAGAAAACTATATGTTATTTCAAGAAACCTCTGTTTGGACTGCAGACATGTAGGTCTTTACAGTACTGCCCACCTCTCTGATTTTTTTTTTGGTTGAAAAATGAATTTCCACAGTGAATTAAAAGACTGAAATATATAGACATTCRGTGTAATGTCTCTTTACATGGAATTTTAATATTTTTTTTCTGAGAATTGACATATATACATGAGTATATTATGAGAATATGACATATACACGAATTGTTATAAATTTTATTTTATTGATTCCTATTCTGTAGGTTAAAAGAGAGCTATGTAGTAGGTTTAGAAATAGTTGATTGGAGACCTTCTGTAGGTCCCATTAATTAGTCGTATTTTTTATGTTAGGGGTGATAAATGTTAAATAACTATGTTGTGTTATTAATTATTCAGAAAGCTTTACTTATTTACAGGGATTGGGTTTTTTTCCTAAAGTTTTTAGCTGGTCACACATAAGCATATTAACTGAAATACCATCTTATGTTGCATTATTGTAATTAAATGGATTTTGCATATTTTGGTATAAGGTATTTTATGAATAGTATCAACATGGTAGCCATATTAATAATCCTAAATCATTTATATTAGCTTTAGGATATACGTATGGATATTCTTTGAATAAAGAGTGGTTGAACCTTTACTAGAAACAAAATATTGAAGGCCCACTGGGAAGTTCTAATACAAGAGGGTTGAAGAGCCCAGATTCTCCAGATACCTCAATACCAACCAAGTCAAGTTTCAAATTACTCTGTGTATGTTTGATTTAAAGCTTCCCCTCTGCATGTGAAATAGGGATAAATACAAAATAGGATGTCAACAAGGCAACCAGTGAATTGGGTGCTTTGGTATCCTCATGAGACATCAAAGTGAGATATGAAAGTAAGACATGAAATGTCTGCAGGCAGTCTGTCTTTTGCTGATAGTGGAGGGTAGACTCTTCACTTTTTAAAAAWTTTTTGCATTAAAATTCTTAATACACCATTATACCATAATTTATCATATTTCTGATTATATATAAGGTATGTTGACACCAAATTCACATCTTCATACGTGTATTTTGTATAATGATGAGGGTCTCTTTTGATTTATCATCTTGATTGGAAAACTCGAAACATGTATTTAACTTTTTTTAGCCATAACAACAGGCAGGTGTCCATCTTTTGTAGGGAGTATCTTTCCAATTTATTTGCATTCTTTAAAAAAAATTTTTTTTAGTTGGACACAATGCCTTTATTTTATTTATTGTTATGTGGTGCTGAGGATGGAACCCAGAGCCTTGTATATGCTAGGCAAGCACTCTACCACTGAGCCACAACCCCAGCCTCATATTTGCATTCTTAAATTAGATGTTCCATGACTTTATTGCACAGAGAAGATAAGAAGAAAATCATCTTGGCAGAAGATTGCCAATGTAAATGGCAAGAAATTTCCTGTTTAGAATTTTTTTCTTTTTTGTAATATCAGAAATTCTGRAAATTTGTTGATGGTAAACCTGTTTCAGAGTGAAAAAGAACAACATTGATTTTGAACAGTATATTTTTGTACTTAAATTTATTTTGGAACATAAAAATCATAAACACAAAATCATAATGTAAAGTTATGTAATATTTTGATACATGTGTATATTGTAAAATGTTTAGATCAGGTTAAACATATCTATTTCCTCAAACACATTTTTATGTGTTTGAGGAAATAGAAATTCAAAATCCTATGGCTTTTGCAGATACCCAGTTCACAATTGTTTTGTGTAGTTACTGTGTTGTACAAGAGCACCCCAAGAGTTCTTGCTCCTGTCTTAATGGTGACTTTGTATGCTTTGATCAACATTTCCCCAACCCTCCTCTCCTCTACTCTCCCCAGTCACTGGGAAGCACCATTCTATTTCCAACTTCTGTGAAATCAACTCTTCTAGATTCCATTTATTTCTGAGATCATGCAGTCTTTGTCTTCCTGCACCTGGCTTACTTCATTTAATAATCTCTAGTTCCATCCATGCTGTCACAGATGCCAGGGTTTCCTCCTTTTTATGGCTGAGTGGTATT